AAAATGGGCTGACTTTATTGTAACCCTTTGTTTTAAATAAGGCAGCTGTGTCAGAGATTTCTTCCAGTGGAACCATTCCCATTCCAATTGCCACACCAGCAGTCAAGCGGTCCTGTTCAGACTGGGGAGACCAGCCAGAGTCCTTCATTGCAAGCTCTGCGGCACCAATGGCCATCACAGTGGCAGAACTCATGGATTTGATCTCTGACTTCGACACAAAGTTTTCTTCACTGAACTCACCCTCCTTGTTTCCCCTTGGCACACACGCAGCCACTCTACATGGGATGCCTGCATATTCTTCCCCATCTAGTGATGTAATCCCACTGCCTCCTTCCAGAAGGTGCTTCCACACAAACTGAGTCCCCACACCAAGAGGGGACACTAAGCCAATACCTGTAACAACTACTTTCCTTCGACATGCAGGCAGTGACTTGCTGAAAGCCCTTCTGTGGTTTTGTAAATGTAGATTTAAATTCAGACTCCGGAGATGAAGATTTGCAATTTTTAACAGATCCTGTGAGCACTGTGAGAACATGGTGGCAACAATCAGGCACATTCCTGTAAATGGAGTGGGGTGGAGGGGGTGGGGAAAGACAAACACAACAGTAAAGCAGACAGCGTGGAAAACATTCCAAGAATATTACATTAGTAACCTGCTTTTTACATGACAGCTTGAAAGAATGACTAAAGAAAGGGATATAGTATCTGTGTCTGTGTATGAATTATGACAGATAATGGCAAAGAAATCTTCACTTTAGGAATGTCTCTAGTGAGCTCATTTAGCTTAAGCTGCTAATGAATATATCTTTGCATCACTGTGGACCGTGAAGAACTCTCTGGTTTTACTGCAAAATTTCCCCAGGAGCTTTAACCACAGCTGGCTGTAGGCAGAAACAATGAGCATTAACAGCTTAATTATTCTAAGGGAAAAAGTGTGTGTTCACTGGAAAGTGTACGTCCCACAATTAACAAGTTGAGGATACTGTCATCTCAACCCTCAAGTCAGGCAGAACAGTCTAGAATCCTCAAACAGGAGTCAATAAACTTGTCCTGGTTCTGTTACTAATGTAATTACACATCTAGGACAAGACTCCCTCTCTTTCCACCTCCACCTATGCTTTATCAGCCTTGAGTTATTACACTGTCAGGGGACAGTATTGCACAGCACACCTCCACTGAAGGCAGCACCACCATATCCTGAATAACAAGAGGCATGGCAAGTGATGGCAGAAGGCCTCTGCTGAGAACAAGTACTTGAGGAAAGACCAGAGGACTACGCCAAGCAGTGATGGTGCTGTACTGTGCTGTAGTCCCTTTTCCTCGCTTGGCTACTGCCAGTCCAGAGCCAGTCTGACTGCACACATCTGACATGCTGGAGCAGGGCAGATGCTGCAGTACAGCTCCGCCAACACCTACAAGATAGGCTTCAATAGCTTGCCTGCTTTTTGCTTTGTCCAAAGAGCAATTTGGCATCCCCAGCTCTTTGGTGAAAGGGAGAGAGCTGTATGAAGACCATAAGGGGCTGCTGGGCACTCCTGCTAAAATACCCAGACCTGTGGCAGCACAAGTGCACAGCAGCATTACTAAAAAATGTCATGGAACCATAGAAAAGCCTGGGTTGGAAGGGACCTTAAAGATCATCTCATTCCAACAATCCCTAACATGGGCACAGACACCTTTCACTAGACCAGGCAGTAGAGACCAGCATCCAGCCTGGCCAAGAACACTTGTGGTAGGGAATAAAAACAGTAAACAACAATATATTATATTTTATACATATTTTATGCAATTATTAAACTTAATTATTAAGAAAGTATTTTTAAAGGAGCCGCTTTTAAATCCTGGCCCAAAACTGCCATTTCAGTTTTGTAAGCCACTTAGCCTCTATAAAAGAGGTAATGTGTGTGTATGCATGTATAAAAATATCATATTATGTATTATATAATGCAAGTTACATATATAAGTATATAAAGAATATTATATAGTCTATATCTAAGACAGAATATAAAACACCTCTGCAGTCATATTAAATGCATATTTATGGAGCATAGTGTATAACATATATATGGTTTATAGATACACTATACTATGTATATTGTATAGCATATACAATGCGTACGATAATGTATTTTATACATATTATTATACATATATACATACTAATGCATAATATAGCATATTTTATCAGTGTATATATACATACATATATACACACATACATATATATATATATATATATATGAAATGACTGCAGAGCTCTGTAAGGCAGCTCGTCACGCAGCCTTTACTGAAATGCCGCCAGCCGGCGCCGAGCCGTCCTGTCCGACCCAACAACGCCCGATACCTGCTGTGCGGGAAAACCAGGCGCAGGATAATATCCCCCGGGAACAAGTGCTACCAAACACCCCCAGGCGTTTTTAATGTGTAAACCAGGAGTCAAACCCCGGCGCCACAAGACAACCCAGCGCCGCCATTGCCGGCCGCGCCCGCCCCGCCCCGCTGGGGGCGGTGTCTCCCCGACCCGTGCTAAAGCCCTCGCCTCCCCCCGCCCCAGCCCTCAGCGGCGCCCCGCCGGCCGCGCTCCCCCCGCTCCGCGATGGTTCGCTCTACCTCCCTCTCACGTTCCGACGGCGCGAGGCCGCACCACTCCGCAGGCGCGGGGGGAATGAAGGATGTACGCGGGTACGCGCGGCCCACGGCGCTTCCTCCCGCCTGGCCCCGCCCCGCGGGCGCCAGTGTGGGCGGGCGGGCGGCGTGATCGTGTGAACAGCCCCGAGACCGGGAATAGGCGGTGAAATAATTTCCTTTCCAAGCCACGTGTTTGCAAAAGAGGAGTAAAAAAAATACAAAAAAAAACCCAAAACAACAAAAAGAACCAAATCAAAAACAAAAACAGCCCAAAAGCCTTTAAACAAACACTCCGGTGGAATAATAGCCAAGACCTTATCACAGACAGGCTAGCGTGGCAGAGCATAAAATGTTTGTCCAAGTCTCATCAACAGAGACATGAATTAGTTACAGTGTGAGTTTACTTGTTTGGTGATACCTTTATTTAATTTTAGTAAGCAGCAGTAAGAAAACTGAAATAAATTTACCCCGCACAACACAATAATGTTTATTAGCTGCAAATACAGCTATCTAAAAATACAAACTGTAGCACAGTAATGAGGCATGCACTGCAGGAAAAAGACGGGGAATAAAGCCAAAAAGGAGAAAACCCCCCAATATTTAATAAAGAAAAAATTATCTTGTGTGTACTTTTATTTCTTTTAAATAGTCTGTTTTTAATTTGGAAATAAAATTCCTTTGCCATTTAATATGTTAGCAATTTTTTGGAAGTTGGAACTTGGTTTTCTAAATTTTTCACACTGCTTGCCTATGAGCACTCCCATAGCATTGTTTACAAATGCCATACTGAGATGCATTATGTATTTATATGCATACATGTATCGCAATATAGTTAATCTTTGTATTTCTGAAGGCAGCCAACATTGAGAGTCACATGTCTACAAGTAACACATGGAAAGGAAATTAAAACCTGAAGTAGAAGCCAAGGAACATGGCATAATTTTAAACTAAAATTTTGTTACTTTGGTACCAGTTCAATGATCCTGAGGGATGAAATAATAACATTTTAACTATGCTAGTCGGAATAATAAATGTAATCTCAGCAAAAGTGAACTGCCCTGTGTTAACTTTCAGCTTTTGTGAAGGATACGTATACCACTATCTTAAACAGTCATAGAAGCTGAGCAGTGACCTGTCAGAAAGCAGGCAGCAGAGCCATAGTGTAGTATCACCTACAAAATCAGAAAGCAGTTTGAATTTTAAAGACTTCTCTTGCTTGGAACTCTTTAAATCTGCTTTCTTAATAAAGCAAATCTCCACAGGCCTTTGTGTCCAAGGTTCTTCACCACAGTTCTTTCAGTAGCAGCACAAATCGGACATCTAGAAGAAGACCAGGGTTTTTTTGCCTCTCTGGGACAGACTTTGGGTACTGCAAGGCAGATGTTGTAGCCGGGGCGAGTCGCTGCAGTCACATTCCTGCTCAGGCAACCCTGGTGAGCCTGGAGGTGTGGCACCCTCAGTACTGTCAAACCAGGGCAGTACAAAAGGGGATTTATGTCCTCAGTGATGTTACTGCCTACCAAGGGGCTCCTGATGTTCCAAAAACATGGAACAGGTAAGCATTTTCTTAAGAAATTATGTTATTTGATCTTTGTATACTTGCAAGGAGATTTAATCAAGCTCTAAGTTATGTCCAGGTGTTAGAAAGACAAATTGCTTGTTGGCAGAATTGCATTTCTAGGGCTTCACATGTTTCAGTGAAATCGCACGTCAAAGAGGTGGAGGTTTACAAAGCTTGGGAAGAAGGATGTACTGCTGTCAGTGGGCACAAAGGATGAAGAATTTATTGGACACAAGGAGATTAGGCAGAACTCCCAAGATAAGGAAGAAACCAGCAAAGCCAACTCAGCAGCAGTGCTGGGATCAGCTCTGACTGGACAGAAGGTAATTCTGGCAGGGGGAGTTTGCAACCTGACTAGAGAGAAAAAATGAGCGTGTGGACTAATCAGCGTAGAAGGGAATAATTTAACCAATAGAAGATAGCATGTTTATTAATAAGAGAACTGTGTAACTTTTATCCAATGAACATTAATGCCTTTATTTGCTAGAATGTATAAATAGTGATAAATTTCGGTAGCTATCGTGCTGGCCTTGCGCAGCCCTTTCTGCTCAGATCTAGAAATAAATCAAAAACCTGGACCCTGCGCGTGGATTGGCGCCTTGCACACCGGGTGAAGGAAGCTGCTTTGGGATACAGAGCCCAGTGTGGCCGGGAGGTGCCGCTGCCCCGGGTCAGCATTAAACCCTTCACGGCCGCCCCGCAATGCGCCGCCCGTAGCCGCGGGCGCTGCGCCCGGTGACGCCCCAACTCCTACTGCGCATGCGCCCAGCGGCAGGCGGTGCTGCCCGGCTGAGGGCGGTGACCTCGCCACTCGCGCGGCGCATGCGCGTGGCGCAGCGCCGGGGGCGGGCAGCGATGGCGGCTGCGCTGGGGCTGGCGTCCTCGCCGGGCTCCGCCGCCGTGAGCGAGCTGTGCCAGAACAGGCGGGAGATCTTCCTGGAGGCCTCGCGGCTGCTCCTCACTTACGCCGACAACATCCTCCGGTGAGCGGGGCCGCCGCCCTCGGTCCGCGGGCGGTGCCGCAGGGTCCCGCCGGCCGCTCCCGGCTCCGCGCGGCGCTTTCGGTTCTGTTGTGTAATACCGGAGTTCAGAAGCGTCTCGCGTGGTTTTGTCGATATTTTTAAATTAATGCTGCTTACGTAGAGGTGTAGTGTTCTGTATTTCTGTTTCTTTATTGCTGGTTGGTTTGTTTTGGAAGTTTAAGAGTTTGTGTATTCACACCATGCTGCCTTGTTCCTGATTATCCAGCTTAGGTGGGTGTTGAACTACCTAAAAACAAGTGGATGCACAGCAAGTAATTTAACTCGATTTTAACATTTTATTTTTTACTCTATTTTTCGCTTGCCCTATGCTTCTGACTTCGCAAGGTTGGTACCAAGAGTTAATTACAGCTGAATTTCTGCGAGGTGGCTCTGTAGGGTGCACATACACGCTAGTACATGTGATTGACCTCGATGTCTTCCAGCAACTCGAAGTGTATGGGCTGCCCCTCCCTGTCTGTATCTGGCTCGTCTTTTACAAGCTTTTACCTCTTGTAAAAGCTGCTGTGTCACAGAGAATGGCGAGTCCCGGGCTGGCTTCATTTAAAGGAAGAGATGAAAGAAAAAGAGTTTTAAAGGAGTTGAAAGAGCACCTCTCTGTGCTACTGAGACCACAGTCGTTTCACTCAAGTACCAGGAAGTTTAGCACAGCTTCCGTGGTGGGACCAAAGCCATCCAGCATTAACCTGACATGTTCAATTAAAATGCACCAGATACAGGGAGATGTGAAGTTGTCTCTAAGTGTCACTACAGACTTAGCCCTGCTGGGTATGACTACAAAACATGGATTCATGAGCATAAGTTGCAAGCTAAGCTTTAACACTAGTTGGTAACTCAGAGCTAAGTACAAAAAGACATTTATAAAGTCCAAGTTTTATGTTGGTTTTTCCTAAGTGACATAAATGAATCTAAAATTTAAAAAAAAACTTTCATAGTGCAGTTGCACAGCTTTTAAGTGTCTACTTCATTTGCAAATATAATTATAACTTTCAATTTGTTCAGGAATCCCTATGAGGAAAAATACAGATTAATTCGGATTGGAAATCCGGCATTTTCCACAAGGCTGTTGCCTGTCAGAGGAGCAGTTGAATGTTTATTTGAGATGGGATTTCAAGAGGTGAGTATAATGTAGTAACTAAAGGTGTCTGTCAGTTTACATAGTAAAATTTAAAATTGCAAATTTTTTTCTGCTTCTCTAGTTGCAAGGCAGTAGTACATTTTAGGGCAGTTGGTATTTTCTTTCAGTCCTTGTCTGCCAATATCTGTAGCTAACCAGCAGAGGACTTAGATGTGGCTGCTTCAGAAAAATGATGAGCTAACCTAATGCATAACAAGATTTTTTTTTGCTGCTCAGGCACTGCTGGTTTACTGAATGGCTGGGTTCATATCCATGCTGGCACAAAGGAAGTGGTGGAAAGCAGGGTGGAAACCCCTTTTCTTTGTAGTAATCTGCTGTTTGGTGAACATCAGACATTATAAATGGGTGTTGAAACTACCATTTTAAAGAGAGAAAAAAAATTTTAAAAGCCCTGCTCTTCTTCGTATTCCTACCATTAGTAGAGCCCTGTAGTGATTTAGGTAAGGGAAGCTGATCTGACGAAAACTTAATCTTTCAAAACAAAACCAGAAATGTTTTTCAGCCAATTCACAGTGCAGCTGCACAAGTACTGGTGTTGTCATGGCAGCAGTGAAGGGCAATAGACTGACTGTTCAAGTAGTAGTAGGAGGGTGAGTCCTTCAAAACCCATTTTTAAAACTTATGAAATGTTATCCTAAAATAGTGTTGAGTGAATCTTGTTTCTATTGCAGTCAGAAGGATGCATTTCAAAGATTGCTTTGTGTTCTGAAGTGGTCCATGTCTTGATGGAACTTAAACTGCCAAACATTGTTAAACTAGAAGCAGTTTTTATAATTGCTGGAAAGCTGGTCTGAAAACCCAGCTCTTGTTTAACAGTGCAAAGTTCTTGCTTTGCTTTAATTTGTCTGTTTGATGCCACACTTCTGTATGGGTTTGTACATGATGTTACTTAGGTCCAGCTGTCATGAGACCTCTGCCTTCTCTTTGGATAAAGTTAATTACTGTAATGTTTTAAATACAAGAAAAAGTATGCTGAAAGAAGTGGTGACTACGGAGGGAGAAATGGTCTGTGGATGTATTCTCATGCTGCTGCTCAGGAGGCTTTTAATTGTGCATTTTAGCCAGGAGGTGGGCAGTGTAGGTAGGGGCAGGTCTCTGAGAGTGTGTTGCCTCAGTCTTATGGTTATTGTGTCAGTCAAAGGTGGAGCTCACAAACTTCTCTTCAACTGCCTGGCTGATATTGTTCCTTCTTTTGTTTCTGCTTGATAATGGATTGATACATTCTTTATGTATATAAAGAATATAAAGTATAAAAAGTATATAAAGAATATAAAGTATATAAAATCATTCTGATTTTAAGTGTTATCACAAAGCCTCCATCTGCTGTGATATGTGACCTCAAGTAACTGTAGGTAAACAAATTACCTTAATAAATAGTGTGGCAGTGGTAGAAACTGAAACTGTTAAAGGATGAATGTTTCGGGATATTCATGTTTTTAGTAACCTGTTCCTTTATGTTAATTACACAGATATTTGATTGTGTCATAATTACTGATCTCTTGTTATACTACCAGTAATTATGTTGCAGTTCAAAAATAAAACCCAGAAATCAAGCCAGGTACCAGTTGTAATAAGGATAATATTGCCATCTGAAAACTTAAAACTTCAACATAAAAGATACCATTATGTAAAAGAATTTCCAGCAGATGCTGTTCTAGGGACTTCTTCCCTCAACATTGGATGTCTTCCTGTGTTGCCTAGGATTTCATTGCTGTACTGTGAGAACTGAGCATTAATTGTTCATTTCTGTTGTTGCTGCTTTCTGTGCCAAACCATAATGACATAGTCCACAAATGGCTCCACAAAATAAGCTACTAACAAAAGCATGCTGTTATGAGCCCTCTTTCTCTAGATTAACTCTAGGTTCTTTATCTGGTAGGCTTCTAAAGCTGTGAGAGGCTTCAAGCTTTTACTGTAAGGGACCTAATCTAAAAGGCTGAATCCTGCCAAGCCTTAGGATGCTAACTTCCAGTAAACTCAGCTACAGCTACAGATCATTGACCAGCTTAGATCTGCATTAACTGCTGAATTCATTTGTCTAAATTTCAGGGAGAAACTCACCTGGTTTTCCCTAAGGAAGCTTCAATTGAGCAACTGCGTAAAATCAGAGACTTAATTGCTGGAGAGAGGAGTAGCAGACTGAATGAGTCAAACCAAATCCACAGATCAGGAGCCTCTGCAACTGTCAGCAGCACTCAGACAGCTGCACAACGGCCTTCGAGACCTGTTGATTCTGTTTTTGCCCCTGCCCGTCAGCAACCAGAAATACCACTTGTGCAATCTCTTGATATGGTAATTATAATCTGCGAACTTCATAGGCTCGTTAGTCTTGCATGTTAAGAGTGAAGAAGAGTTAACTGTTAGGACAGGTTGCTCAGAGAAAATGAGTAGAGTCCAAATAAACACACTGTTAAGCCTAGAGCAGCTTGGTCTGACCACATAGCTAATCTTGCTTTAAGAAGGTTGGACTAGACAATTTTTTCCCCCCACTCCTTTCTGAAGGTTTTTGAGTGTTTTCTTCAGTTTACATAGAACGTAAGCATTGAAATGTGCTATAAACAGAATGTTAGCAAGAGATTTTGTTGAAGATGTCCATGAATATTCTGTTGATCAGAGGTCAAGAAAAAAAGCTCATGTACTGAAAAGGAACAGCAAGATGGGGAACAAGGGGGAGAGTGGGTTGTGTTTGGTGTTTGAGAGCCAGCAGAGGGAAAGAGGCATAACCGTGATGCTTATAATTGTTGGTGTCTTGGTTCATGCATTATGATCTCTATGTGTAGCCTGTGAGGAGGGCTTTCTTTTTTCACATGTGCGTGTCATTCAAAACAGAAATTTAGCCAGACAAGGACAAATTTATAGTTATTTAGGCTAAGTTTCCCTTGTCCAAGAGGTTAAGGTGAAGTTCCTGATCAAGACAGAGCAGAGTCTTTTCATCTGATGTTAACTGGCCCGATGGGAGAAGATTTAGCACCTCATACAACTTTGAAAAATTGAGTTATGCCTTTTGATAGAAGCTTTTAAGGATGCTTTGGTGTAACTTTCTGAAGAGTTTTTCCTCCTAGAACCAGTGTCACTTTAATCTTGAAATTGGTGTAAGATGAATCCCTCCAAAAGCTCACTTCCCATGCATCCTTAAACACAATTTGCATATTTTATATTATCAGTGTACTGTTGGATATGAACTATGACATGCTGTTTCTTCCCAATGCCTACCCAAGTCAATGAATGAGAAATGGCAAAGCATTATTTGAAGTGATGGCTTTTGGGGATAGAGAGTGCTAAATGACCCATCCTCACACAAAAGGTCCTTCAGGAAAGGTACCATCGTAGGCATGTTGTATTGAGACTATTAATCTAATTATGTTAGCATGGTAGTTGTTGCCTCTAAAATATACTGACTGGATTTGTTTTACTTTGTTTGAGAATTCCTAGTTTTTTGGCCTGCTTCTAGATTTTTACTGTTTCAGCCACTTCTGCAATGGTGGTTGGAAGTGATTATGAAACCTGTAGAGCGATTTCCTGCTGCTGTAGGGCTTAGTACGGGAAGCTTTAGAAGTTGAACCTGCAATGACAGCAATGTTGCACAATGTTGACACAATGTATTCTGAGGTTAATCCTTCCAATTTCTAGTTACTCTGCCCCAGCGTACACTAGCCATCAGAGTTGTGCATCAATTTCTATGAAACTATTAATTTTTCATGCTTCCATACCTGGATGGTGGAACCAAACTTACTACTATTTAGAGGCTTTAGTAGTGCAGTGTTGGCACTCTGTTAGAATGCTGTATTTAGCTGATCCTACAGGCAAATATACTGATAGGTCTCTGAGCCATTGAATTTGGTCATTATAGTCTGAATTGATTGGAAGGAAGTCTGGCAGTGACTTGGCCATTTTGCTTGCACAGCAGTGGGAGATTTGTTTTCCAGTGAGTGCGCTGCAGTTATAGTTGTATTATCATTGTATGCACTGCTGACAGATGTCAGAGAGATTTAGAGTTGTTTCTGTAGTGCAAGCATTTTTTTCTTGCCTGTGTATTTCACCTGTCATTCACGGGAGGCCTGGTAAATGCAGGGAAAAGCACTGTACTTAAAAGAACAGAGGGATATTCATAAATACACAGTTCTAGGGACCTAGCCCACCGTTAATTTGCCTCATTGTTTTTTTCTGCATTTCTTGTCATAAAGTATTCTTGAGACTTAGGGAAAGGAGAGCTATGGCTAGTTGTTAATTCTGGTGGGTGGAGTCTGATCCCTTCTTGAATGGCATGGTGATTACAGGAGGAAAGGTGTATCCAAACATAGAACTGCAGTGAGGTTCACCTGGCTTCTAAGATTAAATGTTTGCATAACACTTCATGCAGCGCCTTTTATAAAGCAGGTTAAGCACTGATGTAACACTGATGGTTTTGAATCAGAAACCTGAGTGGGCAAAGAATCTGGGAGACTTCCTGCTGTGCTGAGCAATATCCCTGTATACCCTTTCAGGAAACTGATGGACCATGAAGGTCTTAAGGCCTTTGGCAGTCTCTAATGCTTCTTATTTCTTCCTTTCAACCTGTATTAAAGTGAATCTGGATGCAATGGAGTTTATGATGTTAAACCAGTTATCTACAGCTGATGAGCTCCTGGAAGGGCAAAACCAGCTCTGTTCTATTTTAGCAGTTATGAAAATTAAGGACTGATCCTGAAGTACTGTAACAGCATCAAAACAATCACTTGTAATTTGAGTACTCCTTTAAAAGAAGCTTTCTTCTTTTGAAGAAGACTTTAAAAGAAGAGTTCTCACACCTGGGTGTATGATATTGCATTTGCTGCAAGCCTCTCAGGAAAGCATTGCATTTTTGATTAAATTAAAATGGTAGTTAACAAAGCTAAAGGCTGGAACATGATATAGCAATAGAGAAAAGGTAATTTAGCAGTGCCATAGGCTTCCCCCAAAAATATGCCAGACTGTTACTTTCAAAGTCCCATTTTCACTTTCTGTATTGTTCCCTTTTAAATGGGAACAAATAGTTTGCTCAGCTACCAACTTCATTATTATTAACTTCAGGTGATAGTTTAATATTTGTGTGTGTACCTTATTGGGTGAAATGTGACTGTAGGTGACACTTAGGAGAACTGACTGAAGGGAACCTCGTTCATGTATCCAGTTGCTACAGATTGGGTGGTTCAGTGGGTGGTTACTGGGCTGTCTATATAAACCTCAATCAGAGTTGATCTATAAAAGAAGCAAGTAGAAACAGACAAGCAACATTAATGAATAAGAAACAATAAGCAGAATTCATAAATAATACAGTTTTACAAACCGATATAGCAGCATCCAGAAAATGACAGTTGTTGCATGTCTTTTTGTGGATTTTGGGTAAGCAGTGTCCAAAAAAAAGGTGGTGAAGAGAAATCAAAGACTTTCACATTAGAGGTATCTTTAAAAACAGTTTTCTCCCTCAGTTAATTGACTTTTCACTCAAGGCACCATTCAGAATGCTCAGAGACAACAAGACTGGCTTTACAGTTTGGGTGGTGGGTCTTCAGTTCTTGTTGATATCTTTGCAAATAAACATTTCACCCGTAAATAAGTATATAATGTAAATATGAACATAGAATTATGACTGACTTAAACTAAAATAGGAGAGCTTAGTTATTCTGCCTGAAGGTGAAAGTTCATAAATCATCTTGTGACTGAAAATCCTTTTACAGGCTGCAAATATCTTGAAAACACTTCAGACAAAATTTGAGGGTCTTGTATTGATGTATGAGAATCCTTCTATTCAGCAGAAAGCACTGGCTGCAATTCCCCTCCAGGAATTGAAAAGCAAGGCTCAGAAAAAGCTAGCACAAGCTACAAGACTGGACAAAGGTAAGGCTGCCAAGTTAACGTGTATATGAAAGTAGAAATGTTCTTTCAAATGTACCGTACGTTGCCGGTGTGTGTTTGGTCATATGTCTGCAGGTTCCAAATGCTGTTTCTAAATTGAATTGCCTTCTTCCTAATTTACCACTCCCTTCTCTTATTTTTATTTTGCTTTTGTCATACATCTTTACTGCTTTTATTTAGAATTTTTTTACTCTTAATTTCTGAATTAGTAGAAAAAAGCATGAGGGACATTCTTGAATCTCAGAAATCGAGAATAGCTACAACAAGAGGAATGGAGCTTCTTGTTCAAGTAGTCATTGTTATTAAATTCTCAGAGTGCAGTTTTCCTGTATGTACTACAATTCTAAATTCAGAATAAAATATTTTAATACCACTTCTCTTTTTTAAAGTGATATTAGTGAGATTTTGAATGAGATCTTTCCAAGATGCAGCCTGATATAAACAAATGATCACTTTCCTTCCTAATGCTTAAATGAATAGGGTTATTCCCTATTCCTCATGGAGCTAGATATGAAATGTAGGCATAAATACTTGTGGCATCAGTGTTTGAAATTTATATTTTCTTCATAAATGTGAATTTGTTTTGAATGTATGAAGTTTTTGTCAGTTAAAATGACATGTTTCTATTGTCACATGATGGTTTTATATTTGTTTCAATGGTATAGTGAAATGTTCCTTCTATAGGATAAATATTTTTAAAAATACCTATTTTTCACAGTCTTTGATAGAAGACTGCTTCAAGCAATTCTGCTAACTTTATAGGAGTGCTGTTGGTTTGCAAACCAAAAATAATCTCTTCATGTGTATTATTTATAAATTACTTTGTGGTGTCTCATACAGCCACACGATAATATGTAATTGTGCCTTCATCATTAAGGAAATTTTTGACAATGAATTTTCTTAGTAATTTTTCTTTTTATGAAACTTTATTGGGAAGTAAGAAACAACGTGACCAAGTACAAAGCGTTCTCATTCAGCAGCATGGGACAATACAGTGGGGAAGAGATTAGCAGTAATAAATAACAGCTATTAAATTTCTTTATAAAGGAAAAGAATAAAGAACAAGCCTGCTTCTTAGACTCTGTTCTAATACTACTGCACACCTTGTTTAAAAAGAGGAAGGAAGGGGGAAGATAGTGTTCTGGGTGCTTCTTCCAAAACCATCAGGCTGATTTAGTGAAAATGTCGTTCAGACCTTAATTTAGATACAAATAAAGGGGAAGGGGTGTAATTCCACTGTTTCAGAATGTGACAGCTTGAAAGCATTTTTCAAGAGCTTTATAGAAACGTTTGTTTTGGAATGGGCTGTATATGAGAAGTCTGGGTAATTGGCCTTCAGCTTCTTTGGTTTCTGTCCTGCATTAAGATTGCAGCCTCTGGTAATAAATACTTAGTGCTAGGGTACACCTGTTTTTAGGATAGGCCTTGCAACACATAATGAGCATTTTAGCTCATAAAGACTATACTAGGAAGCTAACAGTCATTTGATGAGAATTATAGCTTTGATTTTATTATTTCCCTTTGCCAAATTTCATTAGAAAGATAGATTGAAAAGCCAAAAATAGCTGTATATCACAGCCAACAGTTTTCTGTTCAAATAAATCACCTTTGTCATTTTTTCATGTGATGTTTTAATGAAGGAGTTATTTTGCAAATCAAGGGAAGAATGTTTATAGCATAGCTGTCATATTTTTGCATATAAGCTCTAGTTTGAATGTTGTTATCCAGGAAAAGAGAGTATGGCCTGTGCTTGAAATCTTCTCATTTATCTTTTAGCAAAAAGTTTGAATATACAAAGCATATCCATTTTGTAAGCAGTAAGCCTTTCTCTGAGTGTTCCAGCACAAAGGTTTTCCACATACATTAGTAAAAATGGGAATTTTACTATAATTAGAAATCAGGTATTCTTGCTTTGATTAACAGATGATCTCTTCCCATACACTTCACGCTCTTGGCAATATGTGTTTAATGGTGTTAGTGCTCGTACAGAGATTTTTGTACCAAGGATGGCTATAGCTTCAGAGCAAGATGTGAAATGAGCTTAAACACTCATCTTAGGTTTATTTTTCACAATCCTGAGAAAGGAGCTAGTGCTTAAATTTTTAGTGCAACTGCCTTCGATTTCCTTTAAGCAGCATTTTTACATATCTATTTTATATGTTAATATTCATTAGTCAAACCTGTCTGCACTGTGACTAGGCTAAAGCTGTAGTGCATAAAAATAATCAGGCAGTAATACCTATGATTGCACTGTGGCCTAGGTGATAAAGCTATTAGGAAGAATTATTTTAATATTTATGTATCTGAGAAGGAAGAGTATCTCTCTGCACATTGTAACAGGATGTGCATTTAAAGTTTCTAAGGAGTTTAAACAAATGGATCTTTCTTGAAAAGCTGGATTTTTAGATTTGTTTTTTAGGTAAAATGGGGCTCTTTCCAGGTGTCAAAACAGTGTGAATATATAAGTAGATTCTAACTCCTGTTGTAAACAGGAAAATGGGCCAGAAGAGTTTGGTGTGGTGAAATCAGCTAGAGTAGAAAACAAAAGACATCCTGGGTCTGTCTTGGGTAAGCTGAGAAAAGTGTTTATTTGCTGAAATTAGAACAAGCTCAACGTGTTTGCATGGTATATACATATTTTCTACAATAATTAAGCTGTATTTGTAGAAGGTTTGTTTATAGAAAACCTGTACACCTGGTTGTTTAGATTGCTGCCAGTGTCTGGTTCTTTGGTATTTTGAAATCAAAGCAGTTGTTATTCCTATGAATAGGAGAATATTTTGGAGCAGAAAAGTAATTATCTCTCTATTCCAAAGTCCTGGAAGAGTATGAAGGACATCAGGAACTTCACCAGGTTGAAATGTAAATCTGACTTATTTTTCTGAGCAACTTCTTATTCTCATTCCAGCTGTAGTATTTAGTACTGCAGTTTTTTGTTCTTAAGTTTGAACTTAGTCTTGACAATTTATATTTTCTTTCTTGTATGCATTTAAGTAATATGCAAAGCTTTTGAATACAGATTTTATATTTAAAAGTACATAGAAATATATGAAGGCCCAGAGATTCTAATTTGCATAGACACTGTCAAGTTCAACTGAATTACTTCTCCATTTGAACTGTGTGTTGTATTGTGTGTTGTATAAATTATACAGGTGCACATGTGAATGAAGAGGACTTCTTATTGTTGGAGCTTTTGGACTGGTTTAAGACTTCCTTTTTTCATTGGGTAAATAGTCTTCCTTGCAGCCGGTGTGGTGGGCAGACAGAGCCTAAAAGTGACTACCTGTTGCCTACTGATGATGATCTAAGGTGGGATGCCAGTCGAGTGGAAAACCATTACTGCAATCAGTGTCAGCTCAGTAATAGATTCCCAAGGTGAGCATACAGAAACTTGCTGTCTTTTTTCTTACAAGAAACAACTTTGTGCATTTTGTGAACAGGTGAGAAGTTTTTCATTCAGAGATAAGAGAAGCTGTTTTACGTAACATGATAGAATGTTTGGTGAACCAGCAATTTCTCTACAAGGTCAGATTTTTTAAGACAATATGTGCTCTCTCTTATGTGGACTTGTTCTGAATACTTATCTGGCTTGTTTGGGGGATTTTTAATGTTAATTTTATGAACTACAGCTTCTAAAAAAAGGTTTAAAATTGGCAACCATATGTAGGTAGTGTTTTGTTATTGCAGGGAAACCTTCACTTCTGCAGGGAATCACAGTGTAATGTACATCTTTTGCTGAGTCTATAGCAGAAGAGGAAATATGCAATTTGTATATACTTTTGTGACATTTAGACATTTTGCTAACTTTTTAAGGACCAGCATAAAAATCATATTTTAAGATGGTTAAATCAATTATGAAAACTTAATCAGATTAATTTCAGTGCTGCTCTAAATATATGATGGAGTTATGTTAGCTGAGGTAGCATTCTGCTCAGATGTATTTTGTGCAGTACTGCAATTATTTCCATTATCTTCTGTGGACTGATTGATACTGAAGTCTTTTCAGATCATCAGAACACGATGTAAAGATTTCTGAAAGGTGAAATCAATGTTCTTGTTTTGTGTTGTTTTTTTCCTATAGGTATAACAACCCTGAAAAACTTCTGGAAACCAGACGTGGGCGCTGTGGTGAGTGGGCCAACTGTTTTACACTGTGCTGCAGAGCTGTAGGGTTTGAAGCAAGATACGTCTGGGACCATACAGGTATCAGTATTCTGCAGTATTGTAACATTAGCACAAACCTGTGCAAAAGGAGGTTATTATGCATTTTATGTCACTCGGATCATATTAGCCATCAGGCAGCAGGTGTAGTTATGCAGTCAACTGACAAAGACAATATAATTCAATTTCCTGTCTTGCCTGATGAGATGAAATACAGTTCTGCAAGTAAGGTTAGATGACTGATTTCAGAATGATACAATCTGTAGCTGAATGTAAGGGATTGTGATCCTAAGAAAGAGTAAGCTTTGGTAATGTTTCTCTATGTAGATGAACAGAAAACATGTTCTTTCACCTGTTCCTTCATTTAATAAATTGGAAAAAGTTCCAATATGCTGCAAGATTAGAGTAGAGGCTCTATCTTTATAAGTCATTGTTTATTCTTGGCCTTTGTTACATAGATCATGTGTGGACTGAAGTATATTCTTCATCTCAGAAAAGATGGCTTCACTGTGATCCTTGTGAAAATGTCTGTGATAAGCCTCTTCTTTATGAAACTGGCTGGGGAAAGAAGCTCTCCTACATAATTGCATTCTCCAAAGATGAGGTAGGAGTAATGATGCTAATAATAAACAAACTTGCCCTGAAGCAAGCGTGCAATGTATTCCACCTTGGTGTGATTTTCAGAATTATTGTAGAAAAGCATGCTTTCATTAACTAGCCTCTTTAAATGAAGCAAGATATGTGGAAATTTTTGGCTGCTTTATTTTCTTCTGCTTATGCTTGAGGTTGTTGATGTCACCTGGAGATACAGCTGTAAACATGAAGAAGTACTCTCTAGAAGGACAGCACTCAGCGAAGCTACGCTGCGAGAGACAATTAATGCACTAAATAGAACGGTATGTAACTTTTCTTCAGTGGGTTTCTGAGAGTGAAACACAAGTATCTGCAGAATGTCAAGTTCTCAAACAAAGGAATGCATTTGGTAACCTCATAGGAATATTCATGCACTATGGATTTCAAAAATGCTGTTAATTACCCATTTTACCCTGAATACACAGGAATCAGTTGCAGTGCTGAACTTGTGGGAAATAAGATAAATAATGGTATGTAAGGGTATTATCTCTTATATACACAGATGTGTGTTTATATATTTTTTCTCTTAGGGACTTTGGAGCAGACTTATAGTTGCTGGGAGTAAACTGCAACTCCTTAGTAACTATATGGACTCCTTCAGGGTGACTGTACATTTTCCACATCAGTGCTGCTATAACTTGAAAACAGTAGCATTTATGTTGTAAGAAATGCAGGTTTAATTTGCTTTCAGTGACTTTTTGCAAGCTCTATGAAGTGAGAGGAATGATTCATGGGCTATTTCCAAGACTTCCAAAAGGTGTTGATACCATCAACAGAGCTTTGTCTCAGAGCCATGTGTATTTACACTGTTCATGCTTAACATCCCCAAAATATATGGAGTCATTTGCATCTGCACATCATGGTTGCAGAACTTCTCTGCTAAGCTTTTTCCACTCCCTACTTGGGACACCAGGAACTTGATTCAATCTACTAGAGTATCATAAAACCTTGAACCACCTTGAGGTTTCCATTTTGTCCTCTCTTCCTTACAGGGCTAATTCCCATGCATGGAAACTTTAGTTCCAGTGATAGTATACAACTGATGACTTAAAAAACAGATTATGCCTGTTGGCTTGAGAGTTATAGCCATACATTAAGACTGTAAAGAATTTCAAGACCAGGGCTTGAAATAATTTTAACAGCAATGAAAAATTAGAGTCGCAGAGCACTGAGAACAGTAATCAGATCATCAAAGTGCTTAAAGGAAATTGTGGATTGGTGTTGTTAATTTAGGGTAAACCATATCAAACTTCCTCTGAGCTGGAGCAAGATCAGTAGTGCTGCATAGGGATATCCTAAGTGTCAGGGCAACTGTTAGATCCAGGAAGGCCTGATGTTTCATGGAAAACTGCAGCAACCACTGGTTGTCATCCATGAACACAAGTAGAGGTATGTTTCCCCCTCTTGCTGTGTTAGAACTGGTATTTGGCATCTGGAATTTGTTCAGCTTGAGCTTTTTCTCATAATTTCTCTGTATCTACTTTCATTTATGCAGTTCTGCATTGTTCTCTAGAACAAAAAAGTCTTCAAATGTTTTTTCTGCAATCTCTAGTAGCAAAACTTGCTGGGGTCAGAACTGCTTTTGAGATAATTAAAATGCTTATCAGCCTCAAGTTTCAGGTCCCAGTGGGCTGAGTGTGCATGCCTTGGGTGATCACCAAAGCAGAAAAAAAGATCATGTGTGTAATAATTTACATATTCAATGTTGAACTTTTTTCAGCCCCCATGTGGGTTTATCTGCACTTAAAAAACTAAAAGGCTTCACATTCCAGATTTATATATTTGACCTGAAAATCATGTAGACAAAATACTAACATCTCAAATTTTTTAAAAGTTTTTTACCAAAAAATTGCTTATCGTTCTATTAATGTTGGTAAATAAGACATGTAATTATTTTTATTTTTCACTAATTTTTCTGGAACTAAGCTTTTCTTAATTTTCTGACATCTGCAAAATAGAAGTGTCATGGTTTGTTTATGACAGAATCAGTGAAATAACTCTTTGAAAGATTTTTGTTTGGGCTTAATCAGAAAACCAAAGCTTTTGCCAACCAAGTCACTCCATCTTAGAGAAGAAAAATTTGAGCACAAATGATTCTTGCCTTCTCTTTCCTCCAAATAATATTGAAAACAGCTATAGTACATCATACATATGAATAGCTATAAAAATTGTTATGGAAGTGTTTTATCATCCAAATCAATGTATTAAAAACAAAATGCAAACATTATTTTAAAAGAATTCCACACAGTGCCTGCAAGTTTCTAGAGAAAGCACTGCTGTCACGTAACTGTGGACTTATGATTGGTTTGTATTTGTGGTATAAGATTAATGTTTCTAATAATCAGTCTAGACTTTAAATGTTAATCTGTTTTTTCAATTCTATTTTTCCCTGTTGGTGTCACTCTAGAGCAGAATTACAAATACCATTTTTTTCTGAATGTTTTCTTTTTTCCTAAATGTCTTTTTTCAGAGACAAAAGTCTTTGTCAGAAAATAGAAAAAAAGAGCTCCTGGAAAGGACTATTGTGGAGCTTGTTGAGTTTATTTCTCCTAAAACACCTAAACCTGGAGAATATGGTGGAAGGACATCAGGCTCAATGGCTTGGCGAGTAGCCAGGGGTGAAATTGGTCCAGAGGTATTTAACTTTCGGTTGGTGGTTAACTTTTGGTAGATGGTATAAGATGATCATCTTAGAGGTAGCTAACTAAGGCTTTGTGATTATGGTCTAAAAAAAAAAAAAAAACCACTTCATGGTAGATAGCCAGATTCAACTCTAAAAAGTGAATCTTGCGAAAACAGTAGGTGAAAGTTTGATTTGAATTCAGTAGAGGTACACAAGTAATTTTTGAGAATTGATGGTGGTCTATTGATTTTAATAATGTTTGGGAATTCTTGATATAAAGTGTGTTTTGTTCTTAAAAGTTACGTAAATTTTAAATTACATTTAAATTACGTAGTTTGACAGAGGTAGAAGGTTTAAGTTTAAAAAAATTGGGAAAACTGTAAAAAATTTTTGTATTTGTAGTATTAGTTACATCCAGGTTTTAACCAATAGTAGGTTTTTACCAACTATTTTTGTTTATAAAATGTGGGCGCAATTACAGTTGCGTAAATTAAGCAATCTCTTAAATAATACGCTAGATTGATTTTCACATCAGTATTTTTTTACTGTTTCCAAAAGCAAGGCTTGACTTTTATGCTAAGATACCGTTTCCCAGAACCATAGTAATATTTAGCTTGAGTCAGGATGCAAAGATGTCACCTCAATTTTGTAGCAATCCCATCATGTGGAATGTCTAACTGTCCTAAACAGAAACAGTTAAGTGAAATTAATGATTTTCTTAAGATTGTCTAAGTTTGAGAAACTAATAGTTATTGTACTCCTCTGCTTTTTGGAAGACTTAATTTCTGAAACTCCTAAGAACAATGACTTTTTTAAAAAAAAGTAATACTGTGAAGTTACAAAGTTTGTACTTTTAAGTTTTTTGAAGTTGATTTGTAAACTGCATACACAAGCACCTGTATATGGTAGTCACAGGTTTGCTATTCAAAATAACCTTTTACTTATTCAGTGTACAATGTACTCAACATATTAATTTTCTGTTATGAAACTCTAATTTCTTACTTAAATGGTACAGTACTTCATGTTAGTTTGTTAAAAAATTACATCTAAAAGTAATTATATGAAAGTTTTAAAAATAAAATTACTCCTTCCCTCTGGAGAAGTTGCAAGTATGCTGTAAGAAACTGGGTTAAAACTTTTCTTCTGCAGAAATGGTTTTGTACATGACCTCTCTTAAAAAAGACCTTTTTTTTTCACTTGGCAGCAAAACTGAATTGCAAAACTGTGACATACTGTTTAAAAGTAATGTAGTCTTGAGGGAATTTAGGCATTGGGGAATGAAGGTGCTTGTATGTTTTGGCTTTTTCAGAAAAGAAAAGAAGTAGTTTTTATTCCCTCTGAAAAGGAGAAGACGTGTAAACTGTTCCACCTCGTCTACAATGTAATAGATGATAGTTATACACGGATTTCCAATAACAACGAAAAAATAAGTGGCTGGGAAGCAGGTGTTTTGAAGGCAGAATCTATTTGGAGAAAGGTTGAAACAGATTGGAAAATGGTAAGAATAGGAATTATTAAAAGCCTGTAATGTACAGTAAAATTATGATAACTTGAGTAAAACGGAAAACCCTTGCCAGTGTTTGGATTCAAAACCTCTCAGTGCCCATAGAATTTAGCTGATGTTAGTAAATGCTGTTGTTAAAATTCAGTAAGATTGCCAAATGGTACAAGAAATTAGAAATAAATTTAACTTGTCTTTCAGAAAGGATGATTGAACTCTCTACAGGTAGGTAAAATCCTTGCCAGAATGCCAGATTTGTAAAATGGCTTCCTTCTTAGGCTTCTGGGAGAATGCTGTGTTATTGAAAAGCAGTACTTCTCTCAAAATAAAACAAGGTATTTGTTGTTTTTAAGAATAGTTTTATAGTGTATTATATCTCTTTGTGTGGCCAAAGGAAGAATCCTAAATAATACAATTCCATCTGCAAGAAGACCAAAACCTATCAGTTACCCAGAATACTGTAAATCCTGCCCAGAATCCTTTCCTAGTGTCAGGACTGAGCAGCACAAGAGTCATAGGTTTTAAATCTAAGAAGAGAATTGCTACCTCTGATGTGGGAAGGGGTCGTGTACACTAGCAAACAGCTTTTCCTGCAACAGCAACCAACTATGGAGCTGAACATTCTTGTCAGGGACTAGAGCATGTTACTGCTTTTTTCCTCTGTCATTTTACTAGTTTGAAGGGTCTTTGACCAAATACTGTTCTAGCTTCTCGTTGATGAAAATGGTACCTGCCTCTTGAGATTTTTCTTTCCTGGGTCTGTACATAACTGACTTGCAAAATGCAGTGGGGGAATTACATAAAAAGGCTGTGCTGCCCTAAAGAGAAAGAATAAGGAAAGAAATGGGAGGATAGTATGAAAGATACCACAACACGATAGGCTTAATATAGTAAAAGAGAAGTAAGAAGACTATCAGAGTAAGGAACAGGTGTTCTCTGCTTCCCCAGGATCTGCTAAACATATGATAGTACATTATGTTTGCAATTCTGCAATGATCAGTCATCCTCACTTTTGCAAGAAACATGTTGTACCTGCACTGAAACTAAACTACAATTTTTGTCAGTTCTTGTAATCAGATAAGACAGGGTGGGACTAATCTATAAGACCAGGCAAAAAGACTTAACCCTTGTATTCAATAACACCTCAAAAGGATGAGATGATGGCATTAAGAAATTAGGAGCTATGCCTCCAGGTCTCTCTCGTGCTTGTGGGTCAGGAATTGCATCCTGCAGAAAGTATGTAAGAATCTTAGAATTTAAAATTACTTTCTATTGGGTGTTGTTTGTATAATGGGAGATAATGGCGGAGAGAAAGGTTGTTTGGGGTTTGCTTGTTCTTTTTGTACAAGATGCAGCTTTGGAGCTTGATTCAGCAGCTGTCCAAGATCTTAAAAGCCAAAGGAGCCTTTTGCAGTAATGCTTGGTTAACGTTTATTATGTGATGAATGGAAAGGCATTTAAATCTAAAAGCCACAGAAAATGTATCTGTAAGTATTAGATGAAAAGTAACAGAAAATAACCACTTGGTTTTATAGTACACAAGGCAAACAGGTACAAACCGCAAATTCTGTCAGATGACCCAGAAATAACCTGGAATCCAGGACTCAAACTGGCAGAATGCAGTAGGTGATAGTAATAGTGTAAGACCTATAGATCTGAAATCCATGGATTTGTGAAAGGTTTGTTTTCCAGAAGAATTGCTGCAGTGGAAGAGAATTTAATGAGTTGGTTGGTTGTTTTTTTTCTTCAGAATTCAGGCATTTTTTCAAATAATACTAGAAAGTTTGAAAGTTAGAGGAAAGTCAAAAATACACAAAATAAAACTTCAAATTCTTTTTTCTGGTCAAATGCTAGGATATTATAACGAAAGATGAAATAGAGTAATGCTTGAGGGTTTTCTAGCCTTCAAAACTATGTTTAGTGCATTTTGACCAAGTAGTATTTAATGGGATGTTTTGACTTCCTTACTAAAATTCAGCAGTTCAGTAGGATCTGATCAAGGGAAAGCTCTTGCTAGAATCAGCTGAGATACTTAAAAAAATGTTTGGAGTTCAGCACCTTAATGAACATTAGGATTACATTCACATGAAAACAGCTTAAATCATTACATTTTCATAGGTGATTTTCAGTGTAAGACCTCGCACCTTTAGGGGTTTTGAGGTTCCTTCAATGTGAAAATAGTAACACTAAAACTGTTTAATGGTCTGTCAATTACATTTCTATATTAGGGTGAGATATTTAGTAAAACAAACTACTGTGTTTTATTATAATTTTATTCTGGTTTGTTCTCCCAAGATTAAAAAATAAAGAGCTGACTAAGTCCATTCACTATGATAGTAATCAGAAGCTTGGACATGACAGAATTTTTATTAATTTAGGATTCCAAAAGGATCATGGTAATTTGGACTCTTAAAACTGTAGTGTCTGTTATTTAGGTTTGCTGATGATACATGTTGGACTTGAAAGAATTGTCAGGCACTTGTGACCAGATTCTTGAGAGGGTTCACAGTAACTTTAATGAATGTTAATATGTGAGCGTGACTGTTCAGCCAGGTGAAGCTCAGGACAGCACTGGGACTAAATTAAATTATACAAAGTTGTAACAGTTAAAATAATGATAATATGGAATTTATAAATGGCTGACATGTATGATTTGCTTGAACTGAGACACATCAGGTCCTAGGAGAAGCAGTGTGCAGCCATAGCTGAAGAAGCCACTGATTGCACAGGTCTTTTCTTCAACAATACTGAACAACTGAAGTGTTACATGCATTTAAAAAGACCTCGATTTCTCCTTCTTTAAAAAGTAATAAGCTTAGGGAGTTTTGTGGCTTGAACTTTACTATGGCTGTTGAAATAGTTTAGTGTTGCCTAGCAAGGGGCTAGGGAAGGTGTGAGCATGTACAGTTACCTAACTGTGGAATATACCTGGGGATGGAGAAAGAGGTTTTTTATATAAAATTTTACTTTGCACTGTTTTAAAGGTTCAGGGGCTTGACAAAGAATGAAAGTGTGTAATCCTAAGATTTTTATGTCCTTGTTAAGAGAATTAATTTGATGCGTGTTGCTCGTCTCAGTTTTTGACATGCTGGTTGTGTCTTCTTTCCATGTAGGTTTATTTAGCCCGAAAAGAAGGGTCATCCTCTGCTTCCATCAGCTGGAAGTTTGAGTGCAAGTCAGTCGGTCTAAAAATAGATAACATTTCAGTTAGGACAAGCAGTCAAACATTTCAGAGTGGAAGAATACAGTGGAGACTTCGCTCTCCTACAGCAGAAATTGCTCTGATAGGAGGTAAGTGTGGAATTTAAATAATGAATTGTATTATGTAGCAGAGATGTTACTGGAAATAAATAGTTTATATGGAGAGAGTACTGTACAAACACTAAAAACAAAATATGAATATTCTTTTCCAACAGCATTTCTCAGCAAGGTCAAGAAAATACTGTGCATTTAATTAAAGCTGGTGCAAAACTCAGTTTTATTAATATACACAGCCCTACCTGCAACAGAGCAGGGCAAGCAAGAACACAGAGTGAATACAAAATACTTGTGTTTTACAAGGATAGATGCCTCTATGTCTGGTGGCAAATGAGTCTGAGTAGTTGCAACTGAGATCATTAAACATCCATTACAGCTTAGCATTTTTAATGTGCATTCTATTATTATATACTGTCTGGAGCTGTGGCTTACTGAATTATCTATCTTTTCCTCCAATAGATAAAAGTCTTTGCTCCTATTCAGATTTTTCTGGAGCAACGGAAGTTATGTTGGAAGCAGTTCTAAATGGAGGGGATGGTGAAGCTGCATGGCAACACACACAGCTGTTTAGAGAGAGCTTAACAGGAGGTGGGGAAAATTGCTTGGAGATAATTATAAAACTCAGTGACCTCTGAGAATCTGAACTGTAGAAATGTACTTTGGATTCCTTGAAGACATTGTACCATGGATACAGTATGAAGATTTGGTTGGCAATTCCTCTTCATCCTGCTGGCAGATTATTTCCTGTTTCACTGCTTCCATTAAACCAACTTGAAACTGCACGTGTATTGAATAGGTAAACATTACAATGAAAACCTCTTTGCTATAAAAACAAACAGAAAAATTAAGGGATTGAACAACAAAGTACCATTTTCTTAAACTTTACAATGAAAAGGAAACAATTTTTAGGAAGCAAAATATGATCATAGAAGCACAAAGCAATTGTAATTGATTTTAGCTTGGAGTTTTGGGATTGGCTTGCTGTTTTATTGGGGGTTTTTATAATCTACTGGGAAAAATAGTTTGAATTATGTTTTCCAATTATAACAAATACTTCTGATGATTTTAAAATATTTGAAATAATATTAGAGGATTTAGACATTTTTTCAAAAATTTGATTTTGTGTAGTATTCAGAAGTGCTGAAATTAAGTTAATTTCAATATTGCATCCTTGTTAGATGTCTAAGTATTAAACTTGTGTTTAATACCTAGAATTATTTGGAAGCATGATGGTTGCTGGGAAAATAACATCATTTTGAAGGAAATGTTCATTATGTACTTCAAATTGTCATGACCTATGATACAAAATTGAGGCTTAAAACTGAGTAAGAACATAATATTTTTTCTATGAAAAAATAGGTTATTCATTATAAATACTTTTTAATTATATTAATTTAGATTTGCTTAATAAATCTTTTAAAAGTTAGGCATGTAGGTTGAAATCCTTTTAAGCGGTTTTCTTGACTTGCTTTAAATACTGTTTCCAAATTTGATCTTAAAGAATATACATTTTTTTTTCTGTTCAATTAATTCAGTGTTTAAATTTATTTTCAGTCAGTATAAAAAATACTATCCAGGAGACATCAGATGTTGCGGTGCTATGAATGAAGCATGGAGTGAACGTTCAGATTAAATAGTCTTTATCAGAATGTGAGGAAGGCCTTGCCTGGATTATACAAGAGATACTCTATTATAGAACTAAAATGAAAAGTTCAAACTATGGTTTTATTTTAAAAGAAGTGAGAATTAAGGATGATGTTCTCAAGATAAGTGTTTTTAAAGTTTTTCTTCCTTCTTTTTTGCACTTTCCAGCCTCTGTATTGATTTGAAGCATTTGTCCAAAATAATTCATGTTGAAATAAATGTTTGCTTTCAACAAATCTAAGCAAATATGAAGCTATTCATATTTTACTAGAAAACTGCATATGCACAGTGAACAAAGGAATCTTAAAAAATAGTAGATTATAGCAGCTCAGAAGTGACAGAACAATGCGTGATGGATTATATACTTCAGAATGTAAATGGGCAGTTTATGAGGGGAATTAGAAGAATCTCCCCCCTCATAATACAGATTAATACAGTGACAGGGTACTTACTGTATTGTGCACACTGGGAGGGAAGAGTACACACTGGAAGGGTGTTTATCAGTGCTTGAACTAATTCAAAGTGAATTCATCAGTCTCTGTTTAAAATTACCTCTGTATTTGGTTTCAGTTAACACTTTTTCTGAGATTTTGAGTGGGAGCCCAACAGAAGAGTATTTTAGGCTAATATGTATACTACATTGGAAGAGAAAAGGGAAGACAACTCAGGTGCCACCAATCAACAAAAGTTTTTACTTAATATTTTGATAGCTGAAAAAGTTACTGCTTTAAAGCAGAAATTGTTTTTGCAATGTATTACTTAGAGGACCTTGAGGAATTGCAGAATTTCTTAACTGCATCTGATAATATGAAATCAGGCAAAATATATTTTAAAGTAGTAAGATAAAATAATTTTCTCATAATTTTGGTCAGAATCCTGGGTAAGAGTAATAGCTGCAGATAACTTAAAACAGTAAAGTAATCGAAGTCCATTTTAAAAAAGTTTGAATTAAAAAGATGGAAAAATGCCTGGACAGTCTAATTAATCAAGAAGTACTTCTGTATTTATAAAATCACGTTCAATGAATAGAAGTGCTTATTTTAGGAAAGAATTAATAAGTAAAACACTCACGCGTAATAGAGCTAATGTGAAAAATTTAAATGGAACTCCTTCAGTTGTCTTTTGGAGTATCCTATAGGCAGTGAACACTTTGAATCTTCACACATAACCTGTTTTAAAGGCATTAATTTCCTCTATTATCTCAATTTCAGCCCAACTCTTCATACATTTTAATTTTTTTTTTAACCAGAGGTAATCCCTCATCCACAGTTGTTTAATATTAACTTACAGTATCCTGAATTTGCAGTATTACATGGTGGGAAGATCTCTGCTGCTCTAAGTCTGCTCTAAAAGTATGGTTATTAAGTTATGCTGGTAATGGTACAATACTGGGTGAGTGGTAGATGTTGATCAGGGCACATGTCAGAAGTCAGTGCTTACTCAAATTTTTAGAAGTTTGAGGAGGTGGAGATTAAATGGGGAAATTTAAAATACTGTTGCCTAGAAATGTGTGGCTTAATACAGGTAAAATCAGCAATGTTTTCTAGAATCCAGCTTAGGTGCATTTTAAAGACTGACTGGCTGTGCCATCTGTGACTGCCTTCCAAGGTTGCACTGAGTTGTAACAGTGAAATCTTTTCCATTAAAAGTTTACATAAATACTGTACTACCCAGTTAATGCTATTTTTGGGGTGCATGGTTTCCAACAGAACTATGTGGGAGCCTGTGCACAGAATTCCTCCTTTCAAACAAGTATTTGTTGTACTGTTGTCTGTCTAGAGTTGATCGTCCATCTGTTGATTTCTTCATATCCTGTTTTGACACTTAATGCTTAGTAATTTCCTACACCCCAGGAAGTTGCTGGGAAGATGTATCCTTAAAATATATGAAGGAAGCTCCTTCTAGGCAGTGGAGAAAGAAAGAAGAGGTACAGATTTCATAGATTTTTTTACAGATTTTCCTGCACAGCTATGCAGGAGTCAAACAAACTTTGGTGTAAATTATATAACTTACAATGAGAAGTAAGTAGTGAAAATTATCTGATCTTGTAAGAAAATCTATCACCTTAACTCATCTGTTAACATTAGAATATTTTTCACATTTAGTAGGTTGGATATAAAATATAATCCTTATTATGTGCAACATCAGGAAATGTAGAACACTAAAAATAAAGTGTGTTTGTCTCCATAGTGCGGTGGAATGAAAACAGATAGCAGGCAGCACATATGGCTGCCAGAAGCTGGGAACACCCATTTGCAGAGTTCTTGCAGCTCTAAACATAACAAGTCAAAACAAAGGAACTCCAAGAGGGGCAGAGATTGTTCCAGGCAGATATCAGGATGTCTGTCTCTTCACCACACCCACACTCCTCATTTCTTTACCTTTGGTTGCTCAAGCTAGCAATGGAAATAAGCTATAAGTTAATTTAATAGACCTCACTAGTTTGTCAAAACTTAGCATTTCTTAAGTATAGGCATTATTTAAAGTGAATCTCTAATTTCCATTGTAGGTTAAAGCCTCTGGGTTCGGACAAAATTGTTGTCCAAGCAATTCAACACCATAAAAAATGTGTCAGTATTGAAGGGACTTCTTTATCTCAGCTTCATATCATATGGAAGGTTGAGAAGGAAATTGCAGACAAGTACCTTCCTTAAACGCAGTTGCTTAGGTCCTTTCTATACTTTGAGTATTTTGGGGGAACTTATTCAACATTATTTGCAGTAGTTCAGCTTACCTGGTGCTGGTTCTGAAGGTTCTTTACGGGGTACTCCTGTTGCAAGCAATGCTTTATGCCTTGTGCCTTATGGCCTGTCTAAACAGTAATCAGTGATGTAATGTATATTATGTGTACGTATATGATCACTGGTCATATAGTTGTAAACATGAGCAGAAAGGAAGAGTAATGACAGAAATGACTGGGATAATTTGGGTTTTTAATGCTAATCTTGGATATTTAATCCCAGCAGAAGGACATTAGAGTAAAAAAAAAAAAAAAAAAGTGTCTTTAGTAGATTGAAACAGTTCCTTCTTTACTTAGGTTTTTAATTTCAGGAGCAGAATTTTGAGACTTCCCAGCCTATATTATGGAATTTAGGAATGACCAATTAGCAAGCCAAGGTCAAATATATGTATTTTAAGTGTACAGGTGTTATGAAATGTGTAAAGGCTTAAATGTGACTGTGAAAAAGATAACAGTGATTTTCTCCATCGTTAAGTCTTATGTTCTTATTCTTGGGCTTGGGGTTTTTTTCATGGTAAACCTTGTAATTAGGCTTTAGCTTTGTTTATTATTAGCCTGCTTCAGTTTCTTCAGGTTTATTTTTTCTCATCTAGCTTAAAATACATTTTAATTTATGTACACAGTTGTAGCTGTATGGTAAATACACTACGACAAAAAATAAGTTGATTTATTTATTTATTTGGTAAAAGGAGATGAAAGATGGCTTTTTTAATCTTAAAAATATTCAAACTCAGCAGGAAAAAAAAAAAAAAAAAAAGAAATAGTAATTAAAATTGATGATGCCCAGAAACCAACAAAGTTACCAGGACTTAATAAAATTTTATGGCGAAAGAAAATGTAATGGACTATATAAACTGATGCTGGCAGAAGTAGCTTCCAATGACTGACCTTGGTTTTGAGACATTTTACTGTGTGTTTATTTATATGTAGGTCCCTGAAAGTTTTCAGTAGAAGAAAATTGCTGAGACTGGTGAACAGGTTTTTTATAAATCTGTCTGAGATTTAAGCAATAGCTGAGTTTAAATATTTTTTATTTTTACTAGTTTAAGCTATAGAAATAATTCTAGAATTAAGAACAGGATCCCACTTGTTATAGATAATTCCTTCCTTTGTTCCAGTCAATAATCTGGATCTTTGATTTTGGAAAAAGTGTGTTTGTGACATGTTGTAACCAAGAACTAGGTCTGCATTACCTGTAAGGATGTGAGATTTCAGTGTGGCATTAAGCACCTGGGGGAAAGATGATTTCACTATGCATGACAATGGTGATGTTTCAGTGTATGTTCTATTAACTTGATCCTTTTATTCCATAATGCTGAGTGTTATTTCGTATCCTTGGAACTTCAGTAATATAGTGTATTATCCTTGAAGGCCCAGGGGAACATATTTTCCCCACTGAAAATCATCAACTAGCAGCTTATCTCTGTTGCAATCAAGAGGAAATGCTGCACTTACTTTAGGTGAGCATTTTGGATAACAATATACAGACTGCCCTGTGGAACAGTCATAAGGAAACCAGCTGATGTAAGAGAATGAAGACATATGAGAGCACTGTTTGAACAAACTCAGACTAAAGTAGGTGGAACAGTTGGTCACAGGCTCTTAGAGCAAATGGAGCAGCAAAGTACAGAATGGAAGGAGAGAGCCTCACTTCTCGCCTTTGCATTATTGCCACTGTGAAGAGAAGGATGGAAGGTAATTGAATGTATGTGTGTCCATGCTTGCATTGTATCAGAAGTCAAAATAACGTAGTTAAGCTGCAGCAGCTTTCACTTTTAGCCAGAGTGCCAGGGAAATGAATGGTATATTAAAAAGCAAAGTTCACTACTAGCAAAAAGAATGTAAAACTTTATTGGCCAAAAAGGAAGTGCCTGGTTTTGGACTGCATTAAGAATTGTAGTGCTGTCCTGATTTGCTTTAATATCACGCATGCCTAAAACTGGTTTTGATTTGTTTTCTTTAGTTAGGTTGTGTAGGTTGGAGTTTCTGCCTGAGTATGCTAACTGATTTCCATGATGTTGGCAATAATGGTTTAAAAGAAAACAGTCCCATTTCCCCCCTCCCTCCCCCACCAAAAAAAGAAAAAAACAACCCTAAAAACATTCAAAATAAAAACTAAAACCACCCCTGCTAAGAATGTAGGAACACAAACAGGAAGTGTTAGAAGCTGCAGTTTAATTTTAACACCAGAGGATGGAAAAAAGATAATGCTGATTAATGAATGTCAAATTTGCATAACTTGGGGGGTTGTTTAGATAAGCTGATTGTTTCCTTTTTTTTAATAAACCAAATATTTTTGAAAGGAATTTGTATCATCATGGAGCCTTTCAAAACAGAAACTTAGGAAGTTCTTGACCAAGTGTCAGTACTATGCATGATCTGCTTTTATAAATCATATTATTAGTCATATCAATTCTTCCTCTAGACTTCAAAGTCTGTCTTTGATAATGGTATTTTTAAACTTCAAATCCATTTGATTTTTTTTTTTTTTTGTAAAGGTGAAACCTCAAAGTTCATATTCAGTGCAACAGGCATGGTAATTTTTCTTGACTATGCACTCTATATGGTCTGCAACTTCACTTTTTAACTTTATTTCACATTTTAAGGCTTGCTAGTAATTAATATTTGTACATCAACTTATTGATTTATAAAAACCAAAACCGATTGACAGATATGAAGGAATGGGCTTTCAACCAGACACAACATAAGAATAGCTTTCTGAAGACAGAGACTTACATGCATTTCTGGCCCACAGAAATAAAATCTGTGATAGGAAACAGACTAAGAAATGCTTGCCAGAATACACTTACCTTTTCTACTTTTGATTTCATTTATTTCACATGCAGGACTGATTACCAGTCATGTGAGGAAATTCAAGCATTTGTAAGTATTCAGTGAAAAATACAAAGTCCATCTGTGAACAGAGCATGGAGGTAACATGTATGCCAGTGAAAGAGTGGCTGAAAGATTTTGGATGTGGAAAAAAATAATTTCTAAAGATCATGAGATTTACTGGCGATAACCAGATTATTGGCGATAACCAATTCAGTGAAAATCAACTAGACCCTATTCTGTTTCAAGGATTGAATGTTAAATCCATTACTGGGGAATATTTTTTTGAAAAAGTTGTATGGAAGGGACACTCTGGTCATGTAGTGTTTGTAAGCAGGAGTTGCTACAAGCAGAAGTGGTCAGTGGATTTTGTGTTTAACACACATTAGAATGAGAAAGCCAGGACTAGCACTACATATTAGCATTATCTGTATTAGTGGTGAGATGGAGGGATTTTACAGTGAAGCGTAAGCAGATGTTTTGCCATCTTTTAGAAGATTCCTGTGTTTAACATGTGATATCAGCTGTCTCCTGGGGTAACCCTCACTGTTGTCTTCACTCTTAAAAGCCCTTCCAAATTTCCCTTTTTATATACTAGTGGTTTTTCATTGTTTGAAGCAGTGTCTGCAGTGGCGATCAAGGCAATTTCCCAGTGACGCATAGGTAACATCTGGAGGCTTCTGCACCGTCTCTGGATTCTGTCCTTTTCTCTTTTCCCTGGTGTATTACAGCGTGGTACCCCAACCCCATAGAGCCTCTATGTATTCCCTAGTTTATGACAGCTGCTGTTCCCTCTCTGGTGGGCAGTGGGAGAAGCCATGAGGATGACAGTAGCATGGTCTACTGCGGGAGTTCCTTGAATGTGATCCTCTAAATCTAACACAGTCTTCATTGTTGGAAAATTTTGTTCTTTTCTTATATAATTTTATTTCCTACCTGCTTTTTGTATTGTGTCATGTGTCGCCCCACTCCCCATGGCATATTGAATACATAGCTCAACTGAAGCCTCAGACCCTATCCTTCCAAGAATGTGCCCCTCTCTGGTATCTTTGTTCCCAGAATAGTTCTGGTTCCCAGAAAGGCTACTGGCCACCAAGGGTAGCCTGCTGCAGGCCTGGTAACATAGGCCTTTCCTCACATCATTTTGAGACCCACTGTCATCCACGAGCCTGAGAAATGTTGTATGTCCCACAAAGGAGGGGAAAGTGAAGCAGCAGCTATTTTAAGGGAAGGGTTTTAGGACCGACATTACAACCTAGTGTTTTGGTATGTTAATGCATATGGTTCAAAAGGGCAATGAGGATCCTGACCAGATTAAATAACCAGATTTTACTGCATTAAGGAATTGGCATTGAAATTCAAAGAACTGAATGAACGACTATACATTAAGTTTGCCCGCTGTACTACAGGTATCTGTTGTAAGGCTATGAATGCTGTTATATATTCAATTTAACTCCAGAGAATAACCCAAACAAATGCTGAATTGAGAACAATATTTTTATTTCACGTCTTTTTGAAAGATTAACTATTGCTTTTTATAAATATGCAAAGACCTGTATGTGTGGAAATGCAAAGCACAGCATTCACCCCATTAATGTGCTAATTCATTTGGAGGAAATTGAAAAAGTAGTTTCACCTATTTTATTTGCATGTCCCTGCTAGTCTGTTACAGAACCTGTTAAGCCGCCATGCCCATGTCATAGTTAACAGGCCTGGAGGGAGCATCAACCTTAAGGATCATGGGATGTCCCATCATGTACAGCATGGGAGTAGCATAGGTCAAGGGTGGGATGACAGGCACTGCAGTCTTCCTGTTTGTGAAATGCAGATAAGTGATCATGAATTCTCAGAGCAGATTGAAGCATGGAGCGGGAGGGAGTGCTGTGTTCTGCATGTGCACTCTTGGGAGAATGAATGTCTGTTGTACAGACAGCTTGGGAGTGCTGTGTGCTGTGCCTGGCTAAGGAGATGTTTGGCTTTGTGGCTAAAAGCAGTCATGCTGGTTTGGTGAAGTAACTCAGAGCTGAAGCATGTGCCATGGATTATGTGTGAGTGCTGCAGCTTCTGCTACATTCCCATGGATTGGTTAATGTGCCTGCCTCTATGGCCTGTGACTGTTCTCTGCCTTTACTGTAGTCAAAATGCTGGTGTGGCTCAGGCTGTGCTGTACTTCAACAACTATCAGGAAAGAAAGCATAGTTTCCTCTGAATTGTCTTCTATTCTGCACAGCTACTCAAAATTAGTACTTTTAGTTATTTGGGAGAATGGATTATTTGATTAGAAAGCTGAGGAAAGCTTTACGATTTGAGAATTAAATGCCCCAAATAACCATATGTATGCAATTGATCTCTTAAACTTTAGCTATTCTATGACTTCAAGTAATTTCATTATTTTCAGCCTTTATGCCAGTGTGCTCTTTCATCATCATTACTCATGAGAACTGAATCCAATGTATTTTGGGAGAAATTATAGAAAATGAGCAATTGAAAAAAAAAAAAAAAACAGGTTAGCAAACCAGTGGAATTCTCATGCATGAGAACTAACAAATGACTTTTCAATAAACAAGCTGTAAAGTAAAAAAGGAGCTTCCACACTACTTATCATGAGTCACAAGACAAATGAACTCAGCAGAAAAATGTTGTGTTTCAGTAGCATGTCCAACATGTCTCAAAGGCTACAGAACATAAAATAATCTGTCATAACATATTTGTCTTTTCTCAAAGAGCTAACGTTAGTACTGGTTCCAAAGTAAATGGAATTTTGACATGGTTAGTATTAAATAGTTTCAAAACCTGCTAGAAAATTGATACATTGATACATAAACACCATTATCTAATTTAAGACATATTAGAGAAGGAAAATGTTGAATGGGATGGAAACTGATACTTTAATGAAATTTCTGGCTAATGTGTATCTCCTTTTCATGCACACCTTATGAATTCATTGTATTTATTACCTGAAAATAGAAGAATGTGAGCAGCAGTAAAAACCAAGCTAAAAGGAACCACACTACTTTCAGAGCTTCCCACTCTTCAAAGGCTTTCTGCAATAAAGGCTTCCAGCAGAAGAACATATGTGGAATAACAAAGCTCAGTAAAATCCAACTAAATGAAAAGGAAGGTGAGTTGTTATTAATGCTTCTATAGCATGATGGTAAAACTTTGACATGACCTTACTATGAGGCACAGTACAGGAAAGGTATTCTCTCTAGCCGTTATCTAGGAACACTGGATATCACTAAGTTGTTCCTTGCAAAATTATTTTTAAAAAATGAGTAATGTACTGTTATAGTATAACAGTTAACAGATTTGTTGCAAAAATAGATATGCTGCCTTTTATAACACTTAGGTCTGTCAGATAAAAAATGCAGTACCTTTTCTTTGCTTCATAGTTTGCGAGAAATGAAGGAATATTGTAAAAGAACCGCATTGATGAAAAACATTTTTCTTTTCTGTTCTGCAAGTTAAATCCACAGTAGATTTCTAAAAGAAATGTATAAAATAATGAGGACTACAGAGTCCATATTGTTTAGGTTAAAAACCCCCACAGATATATGTCTATCAAAGCAAGTTACTTTTAACACATCCTGTTGATGAAAATCTTTTTTCAAGAACATTAAAGCAAATTCACAAATTACTAAAGCACATATATTCAGTCATTCAAAAGACTGTTTTCCTTCTTCACAGGTGACAGGCAGGAATCCTAAATCAAAAGAAATGCTGTGAACAGGATGCAGCTTTCTGAGGTCCTTAGAAATAGAAAGATTCTTTTGGAAACCCTGCTGGACTGAAGACCTAGACTGAGATTCCCCGACTCTAATAAAAATATGGCATAGCAAAGTGCTGGCTAAATGGTGCCTAAGCAGTCAAACACATTGTCCTGACCCATATTGAGAGCTGTTGCTACTGCAACTTTGGCTACCTCTATCAGCAGTGGCTACGGTCATAGTGAGCAAGAGGAATATAAGAACCACTGATCTGGATGATTTTACTTCATCTGAAAACTGAGGTAATGTGTTCTTACATTTCTCTAGGAGAAACAGGAGTGCAGTAAGGAGCTGGAAGAATCTGCAGAGCTGATTGGAACAATGTAAGGTATGTAGTGGAAAGAGAATATAAGCAGTGTTAACTGGGTAAAAATAGAACAGGAGGCCATAACCTAAACAAAAAATCATATTTAATGTGTTACATTTGGTGCTTTATTTACCCATTCTCCTAATAAATACAGTAAGACTAAAACACTAAGCAGAAATACCACTATTGAAAAAAATCATAGAGGACAGCTGCATGGTACTGTGAGAGAAACATTCAAGACCCAGAAATACCAATGCATTAAAGGATCTAAAGGGATAACAGAAGATATTTTTATGTATTTCTGATCACCTTTGCTTAATAATATCTAAGGAAAATAGAAAAGTGCATGAAGCAGCTAGCAGTGACCATTTTAAAATACTGCTTGCCCAATCACCCAAGCTGTTGAATTACACAACTCCTTACTGAAATAAACAGGAACTGCTGCTGAGCCTTGTAAATGAGGCCACCTGAGAAATTGTTGAATAGCTGATCTATAACAAGTAATTGTAAGGGAGTTGTAAATTCAGATAACACTTAAGTGGGTGGCTGAGTCTTGGGTACATTTTACCTGTTTAGCTATACCCTTTATATTTTTTTAGTTGAAGTACACATCTTATTTTTGTAATTACTTTCTCAACGACTTCTGAAAAATAAATTCTCAAAAACCTTAGAATAGTCTATTGACATAGGTAATCTGAAGAAATGCATTTAAGCACAGAGAATTATTAGTAAATAGGTTACTGGAAAGACTAACAGCTTAAATCATCTACAAAAGAATACTCACAAAATAGTATTATTGTATAAACTTCCTTTTCTAAACTGTCTTGTAATTGTCAGAAGAACATGGTGAGCACATTCCCTGTGCTGTGGGCTGTAAAAGAGTAATTCAAATTTTAGGCCATCTAGTACCAAATCAAAACCACCATGGCTTAGTAATTCAAAGCATTACATCAGTATAAACTAAAGCTGCCAGTACAAATTTACTCTAAGGGTTTCTTCATTAATTTGTTGGACAGATACATGCAATCTCTCTGTCTGTGGTTCTGCTATTCTGTGCCTGACTGGACCCTTCATAGTATCCCCTGACTTCTTTTTGTTAGTTACTACTAGTGCTCAGGTATATTGTTAGCTCATGTGTCCCTACCCCAGTCCTCTTTCAGAAGGATGTTCACAGGTCATTCGCCCAACTCTTTTGTTGCTCTTTGCCTAAGACATTTATTTGTTCAAGTATTCCAAAACTTGTTGCCTCCTTCTCTTTTTCCCTTTGACCTCAGCATAAGCTATGTGGGTTCCCTGGCCATACTTCAATGACATGCTCTGCCTTGGTGGAGATTGAGCCATCATTTCTCTTGGGTATTAAGACTTTTCTCTTCTTGGGTTACTACAAGAACCACACAACTCTCTTCTGAGAAAGGGAATGCAAATGCACACCCTGACCAAGTCATCATTGATTCCAGTCAAAACTGGTGTTACAATGAAGCTGTACAGAAAAGCTTGCCCTTTCTATTTCCTCCTTATAATAAGTCATAACATGATGTGTCAGAGGTGGTTGAATTTTAGCTCAAGAAAGCAAAGTACCATCTCTTTCAACATTTCCCACAACAGTGGGCTTCTCTGCTGTCTATATCACTCATCACTTTTCGCCACAGATTAAACATATCCACATTTGCCTTGTATAGGAAAAACTCCTTCACCTTCCTGTCATTCCAGGAATGACTGGACGTGATCTTCTGCTATTAGGAAGCAGTCTTGACACTCACTCAAAATCTATAATGGATTTCTGTCAGTGAGACTGGAGAAATACACTGGTAATGGATACCTTCAATGAGCAAGGAGAGTCTTGCTGGGTAAAAATTAATTGCCACTCACATATTCTTGCCCAAACAGTCTTTTTTGGGTGAACTGTTAGGAAAAAACCTGCATGTTTTAGTCAAAAGGAAATTCCACTTTGGAAAGAGAGAGCTCCTTTACAGAGGGGCTGGGATAAAGGGACAGGAAGAAAGGGATATGTGGATAACATCAGAAAAGCTTCTCAAGGAAAGCCTAGCATGGCTTTGCAGTATTCATCACCCAGAGCTCGAGGGAGTGCCTTTCTGAATGGCATGGCATGCTCAAACCTTGCTGGCTGTTTATGTTCTCCCCACTAACAATGCCATAATGCAGTTTGTGGTTCCCAGCCTCCAAATTACAGCAATCTCCTCTCAGCTCAGTATAACTGCTGAGATGGCCATTGCTGTCTCATGTACATTAAGCACAGAGCTTAAAATACATCACCTTCTCCATTCTATGTTTTTTAACATTGTTTTTGTCCCTCCAGGCATTTTATCTTTTCCTACTGCCACCAACTCTTCTTAAAGACTCAGTGGATGTCTGCATGGATAGTAATTCTATTGATGTTGAGAATTCATCCCAGTATGGCCAGCTCAGCTTCCCCTGCTTCACCTCTGCATGCAACTTCTCTTGCTGTGTGTGGTCACTGCACAAGGGAACTTTGTCCTATACAAGGAATTTCAATACAAATATATTTAATTTCTATGACCAGCCTCTATTGAAACAGCAATTACGCTGCTCAGTGAAAGCGTATCACAATTCAAGACTGAGCTGACAGTGAGGAGACTGAATGGGCTTGGATGCCCCTCTAGTCACAGATAAATATTTAAAGTTTACAAGTGACACAACTTTCCTGTTCTGTGTGAGAGACTGTGCAGCTCAGGTGAGAGGCCAAGCACGTCGGGTCTGTAACACAGCCTGCCTCTCCTGCAGCAGAGAGGTGCTGCCATCCAGGAGGAAGTCAGGTGGGTCAGTGCAGCAGTCCCAGCCATGCGATGGGCAGTCCAGGATGGAGCCCAGGGGTCCATCCTGTAGCTAACCCTGGGGATTCTGCTGGACCTCTTCCCCAGCAACAACCTGGCAGTAGCATTCACAGCATGCCCCACCTGAGTTTTCCACACCTCTGCCAAGAGCACAGCACTTAACAGGTTAGTCACCAGAGGAAGAATTGGAGGGTAAACAGGGTTTAAGCCGTCCAAACCCTCTGTCAGACTGTCACAAGTGGTACATTGTTTCTGGAGGATTAAGATGGAAATGACCTGATGTTTTTCAAGAGACTGGCTGTGGAACAGTCTGGCCCCAGGAACAGCTACTAACAAAAGTGCCATGGATACATCAGGTATGTAAGTCCTGGACACAGTTCAGCTGAGAGTGTCGTGCAGTGCATTGGCAGTGCACACCCACAGAAAACCACTAGTGTGGCCTCTTGCTAATTCAGTGAAGGTGTTTGAGATACAATTGTGTAAGAACACATGACCTGGCTAAATGTATATCGTTGGGTGATCCAGCCATGGGTAGGCTTCTCTTAAATACTTTGGAACCGTGGCCTGAAGGTCATTTGCAATCAACGCAGTACAAGTGTGTTAGTCACTCTCATATTGTACTGCCGCAATCCTACTCAATAATTTGGTCAATTATTTCAAAATTATGTTAATTAATTATAATGAAATTTAAAAATGCAGTAGAATATGGAAATTATTTTATTGTGAGTGTAGATATTTAATATTAAAATATGCAATGTTTATTTATACCTCATTACAACTACATACAATGTGGAATGTATAATGTAATGGGCATCAACACTTAGTTTCATAAATATTTTAGCAAAAATTTACACTTTTTCCTGTGTAGTTTGCAGAAAAAGAGCTGTGGTCAGTCATTTAAGTAAGTGCTTCTATCTGAGTATGTTCACAGATTAGATAAATGTACATAGTTTCACATATAGTCATATTTTAGGCCCTTTAAATCTGAGTCCAGAAAACCCACATAGAAAGAAAAGGTATTATTAGAGAGCAAGTAAACTAGAAGCAGCAAGTAACTTAGAATAGGTGGGAAGTTTGTACATACCAAGTATACAAATACTTAAAGATCATACATACTTACTGCTAAAATGATTGAACACAAAGTAGTATTACAATAAATATTTTGCTTGCTAAAAGCACTAGTGAAACTGGTTTAAGTAGATCATTTTTTTGAAAGCCTCTAGGATACTTCTGTTTATGTTTTGGTCTATAACTGTGAGAACAAGTAAATCTCCAATGAATTAAATAGGACTTTGTGTATACAATCTCAAGGGGATTACTAATTTAAAATGTCACACAATAAGTGTGAAGTATTTGACATGAACTGGTAGTGCATGATTTGGGTAGGTTGCATTCAGTAAAGTAATTCCACTCCTATCAAAATGTTATGGCACATGAATTTGATTCATGCTCAAATCTACTTCTGTGTTTGTTTTAACAGGGATCTCTTAAAATGTGATGAGTGGTCTCATTTCACTGCTCCACCTCTGCAGTCCACAGAAGCAGCTGCTTTTAGTCTCATGAGAACTTTGTCCCACAATCCTATATGACTAGCAATGCAACCACTCAGCATACACATGTAAGTATTAGGGATAAAACCAACATCAGAAATAAGCCAGTAAAATGCCGTGCAGCTAGCATAGTAAGGATGAGAATTAAATAAAATCCAACCTGGACAAAGTAATTTCAAGGACTAAAGAAAATGCTTGAGGGAACATCAGCATTTCCTCATAAATCTGCTGCAGTGGGACACAGACTGAACATGTCTGACCATGCACGTTCAAAGAGCAGTAGCTGCCAAGAAGAAACTCCCTCTGTCTCTCTCTAATATATATGGCATTGGCTGCCTTCAAGTTAGATTGCTATCTTCTGCTTGGCTCACATTGCAAAAGGCACACTTCCCACACTAAGGACAGCCTGTTTACTAAACAGCTGGAGCTAATGAGAACATAGTACACTGATGTTTGAAACTTGCTCTTTTTCTGCTGAATACAGTAATGGTCCTCTACTGATGCAAAAAGCTGTGAATAGAGGCACTCCTCCTGTTTACTCTGATCCACGCAATATTCATTGCAGCAGTTGGCTGTACATGATTAATTGTAATGGGTTCTACATATAAATTTGAGATTTTGGAAGAAAAAAATCGACACAGTTCTAATCAGCAAGCTCAGAATTCTGAAGCACTAGGCATAACCCTGCAAGTGTTACCTTGTGGTTCTGCAAGAAACACTTTTTATCTTGCCAAAAGTAGAAGAAAACACTGCCTACAGCTCAGAGGTACATGGAGCTGCAATAAAACTAGGCTGGAACAGATAACTTACTGTCCCTTCTAGGCAGATGCCATTATTTTCCATAATCCCTATGCAGCATTTAGATATTAGTTTAATAGCTTCCTTAGAAACTGGCAGAGTAAAATTATGCTAAATAAGCAATATTTACTAGAAATTCTTCTGATCCTTCCCTTGAGGCATAATTGAACATTACAACTGACTCCTCAAAAGTGGCTGCTCCATTTCCAATCCCTTTACTCCTCTGGAAAAATATTTTGCAAAAGGAAAAACCTTTAAATTATTGCTCTTCCTTTGAAATGGTTCTCTGATTTGTCTGCTAGTTCAGATGCAGTGGTCCTACTGATCCCTCCTGTTGAGACTTTACATTCTTAATAATTCAAGGAATGGAACAGGTTGGACTAGGTAGGTCCTTTGCATTTCACACAGCAGAATGAAAATTGCTAATTGAGAAGCTGTGTGTGCTGAAGCATTGTCACAAAATCTGATTATAATATTTACAGTTATACATATATAAGTATTATATACATTTGGTGTAAAGTATGTAAAACTGTACATATTTTTTGTGCTGATACCTAAAATGACATGAATTTTGGGCTTTATACAGACACTGGTTAGACCTAGGAAGTAGATGGTTTTTGGCCACAGCACTTTTTTCAAAACGACGAATAGGGTTGTACTACACAGGGTTGTGTGCTGTGTACAGAACGGGGTGCTGTGCTGTGTGACCCTCTGTGAGGACTTCACACGATGATGCTCAAATGGCGGATAAAGGTCTGCGAGCTATCCGAGTTAAAGAGCTCCTCGGGCCGATCCCCAGAGCCCAGAAGAGGGCAGTGGACTGTAAATACACTCCTGCCTGGAGCACTGGGACTTCCAGGCTGCTGGTATCGCCGCTGGTCGCAGCGGTGGCAATTGCAGGGACAGGCTGGCGGAAAGGGGACAGCTGCCCGCCGAACCCTCGAACACCTGGCCCACCTACCGCATCACCTCTTCTCCGCCCGCGCATCGCAGCATCATCCACCTGGAACACCAGGGAAGCGGGACAGCCGCGCTTTGCCAGTCCCCACACCAATGCCCCTGTGTAGTCACGGGAAAGCGAGGCGTCTCCCTGCCCGCCGTCGCAGAGCGGGAAGAAGGGGTGAGGGAGCCCGTCGCTGACCCGGCAGCTGAGCGCTGCTTCGCCGCGGTCCCTATCCCGATCCCTATCCCGATCCGGCCGCCCCATCCCTATCCCGACCCGACCGCGCCGCCTCCCGTCGCACCGCCCCCCGCGCGCGCGGCAGCGCCCCCGTGCGGGCTGTTCGCGCCTTGTTGCCACCCTCGGTGACGTCACACGCGGCTTCTCCTTCTGGCTTCTCTGATTGGCCGGCGCTCCGCGCAGCCTTCCCGCCTCCAGCGCGCGATTGGCGGGCTGGCCCGTGATTGGCGGGCAGAAGACGCGGGGGGAGAAGAGGCCCGGGCCGGCTGCGCGGGGAGAAGCGGCCGCGGCGCGGACGCCGAGCGGGGCCGGCGCGGTTATTTATTGTCTACGCGCGGTGTCCCGGCGGCGGCAGCGCTTCGGGGGTTGTGTGGGGGGAGGAGGAGACGGTGGGGGAGCGGCACCGGGCGCCGGGACGCAGGGTGGAGAGAGGAGGGGAAGAAGGAGGGGGCCGGGCCAGCCCCGGGTGTGCGTGTGTGCGGGGGGCGCGGGGTCTGCGCGGGAGCGCGCGCGCGCGAGGGGCGGGAAGCGAGGGAGTGAACGAGGGAGGGAGGGGACGAGGGAGGAGGGAGGGAAGGGGAGATTTTTTTATTAATAATCTGTTTTCCGGGCCTTTGTGGCTGCGGGGGGGACGGCGCGGGGGTGAGGAGGAGGGCGGGAGGCAGCAGCGCTACGGCGGCGATAGCGGTGGCTGTTGTTGCCGCCGCTGCCGCCGTGAGGCGAAGGGACCGGCCCGTCGTCCCTTTAAACTAGCGAGAGCCGCAGGCCCGGCCGGGCCCTCCCTCCCTCTCGCCTCCCCGCCGGCGGAAGGGGCGCTTTGTGCGGCCCCTCGGCCGCCCCTGCTCGGTGCCGGGCGCCGGTGAGGGCGGGAGAGGCGCGAAGGGCGGGCGCGGAGCGGCCCCAGGCGCGGAGTCGGTGCCGGCCCTCCCGGCCGCCTCCGAGCGCCCTCGCCTCGGCTGAGGAGAGACGGGCAGAAAATGGCAAAGTCTGGAGGAGGAGGAGGAGGAGGCGGCGGCGGCGGCAGCGGGGGACTGACTTGGGTGGTAAGTTGTGGGGATGCATGTTGTTCGTGGGATTTGCTGCTCGTGTTTTGTTATTATTACTACTGTTATTTCTGTTTGCGTCCCTTGCGTGTGTGGAAAGAGCGCGGGCTGGCTTTGAAAGGAGGGGAGAAGCTGTGGGCTGGCGTGGAAAGCGAAGCGCTGTAGGGCCACCGCCGCTCGGTGGAGGACTCCGGGACAGGAGGAGGAAGACTGGGCTTGGAATTGATGTTACAGGAGGGGAGATTTTATCCCTGTGGGGGGCTTCTTGGGGTGCTGAGAGCCGTAGGGAAGAGGTCAGTCTGTGAGCAAGCAGGTGGGAAACTCCTGGGCTTAGCGGGTGGGTCATCAGGGCTGTCTTGAAGCTGCTGTCCTCCAAAGCGAGATGTGGTCTGTCTGACCCACCAGAGTTGCCGGTATTGCCTCTTATTCCCAGAGCAAAGCCTTTGCGGGCTAGCAGAGGGTCTTTGTGTTGATCCCATTTTCTTTTCCAACTGTGTGCAAGGACAATACCTGAAGTTCCCAAGTTTCAGAGACAGGAAGCAGGAGCTGTGTGCTTGCTGTTCCATCTTGGCATTCAACTTCATCATCCTCCAAAAGTTGTAACTCTGTAACAGACCCAAGAAGGGGGTGTTTTACTGCCTTTCGTGGATTGGTCGGAAGTTGTAAGATAAGAGAGGGTGCTGGTGATAGCTGACTCTAGAATTGATGAATCCTTTTTGAACCTCCTTATAGTCCTTTGAGAGTGCTGGTTCCCAGTGCTGAGGTGCTTTCCTTGTCAGTAGTAAGAGCGGATGCTCTCAGGTTTTGGTGAGACCTGAGAGGAAGGAGGAGCAAAGGTGACCTGAAGGGGTCTGGTTCAGCCAATCAGTAGCTCCCCTGCCTTTCTCTTGCTCAGCATTGAGGGGTAACTTCTTTAATGTTTAAGCAGAAGACACTAGATCTTGATGGACAGGTATCTTTAATCAGACATATGTGCTTTACAGAGGTGGGAACTTTTAACGAGTCTTAACAAGCAAACTTGTTCTTGTGTCCCTCTACATCTTGGAGCTGTTGAAAATGAAGTATTATTAGAGTGAACAAATCCCATATGTTCTGATGGTGGACTATTTCCATGGATCTAATTACTGCATTTTATGTTGGTAATTCTCTTTAATTTTAAGAAGTTGGCAGCCTGGAAAGGTATATTAAAAAAAATGTGCAAGTTTCTGGGTGTGCCACTTGAAATCACACAGTTTAGCCATGGGAACATGTCTAAGCTGAGAAGCTCTTCTCCTGTCTTTTCACAATATTTTGCAATCTTTATCAACTGTGGTCTTTGGATGACTTTTCAGAATTAAGATTTTACCATCTAGGTTCGACCAAGTAATTGAAAGTTTTACAGCTCATACAGAAAACTGCAGAATGAAGTGTGAAAATTACTGAATAGGCATTTTTATTGAAACATGTTCTTTAATGTAATGGGCTTGAAATTATGGTGAGTCAACAGTTTCCTACAACTGGAAATGATCAAACTTTTCATTCTCTAAATGTTAAAAGTTAAAAGTGTTTTTGTCAACTCAAGAGTAGTTGTACGGAAATAATTGGATTTTAGCTGAAACTGTGTGTTCATTTATTTTTTCAGAAAACAGTGGGACATTCTTTCTTTCTCTCATGTGCATTTTAAATTGTGAAGGTAGGATTTCTGAGCCAGCTTCTAAGACCAGACCTGTTCCATGTCATCTGTAGAACACTGGCATGCAGAAGAACAATATTGTTGTAGCACTGAATTGAATGGGGCCATAGCCTGTGTGCCAGGCTGAAAAAAATGTTGGTTTAGGTGGTGGTTCATTTGTAGGTGATCATATGATGTCCTTGAGGAGGGTGAGAGGGATAGAGGTAGGGACAGAATAGTTTCAGCTGTCTGGCTTTAATCTGCTTGGCATATATCTGCTGGATATGCAACCACTTGCAGTTCAGTTATAGGTTGTTTTGAAACCACCTTTATTTTCTTAGAATTCTTGCTAGTGTGTTGAAACCACTAGGATGCTTCTCTGTCTGAGTAATATAT